TTGTGTGTGTCTTTTGTCAGCCTAGCGTGGAAACGACCGAATCCCGGTTACCTAAGTGAAAGGTTTTTAACCATCAAAAATACCTATCACAGTAAACCCGTCCATTTTCACCGTGTTCGTTCATGTTCAAGGTAATCCAAATTGAGTAAAGATAGGGAAAATAAAACACTCCCGTATAATTACTTTCTGCTATCCCAGACAGGTTTATTTCATTATATTGTGTTTAATATTAACAATACAGATATAGTATCATAATAACAAGGACGTTAAAGTTCGAGTTGACTCGCATTTACTAGCGTAAATTAGACATTTGAGTTATATTCGTGTTATTGTAAACTTATCATATTTTTGCCACGTTTCACTCAGTATATACTTGAAATGCAGACTTGTCTCAGTGATATCCATTGTCATCCATCCCGTGTGGGAAGTGTCTGCAATTTTAGCACGCCAAGGAACGAATGATTCAGGCATAAACGTTATATCATTTCCTTCTGGGTTACCTGTAGACGACAAATGACGGGAAGTTAGGTTCGGTGGTGGTTCGTGTGTATACTTGCATTACTAATGTTGCGAGGACAAAAATACAGATAGATATACCGACTTCCGTCAACTTATACATAGGTTTTCCGTAGCTTGGGGTTAGTAAAGGGACAATGTATTGCAGAGTTTATATTAATATTAATAGAACTGTACAATACCTACCCCCTTTACAATTGTATTACTAGTCTTATAGTAAATCCATGGAAGGTACTAACGTTAGTACCTTCCATGCTAAACCTAAGCTACGCAAACATTTTCATGTCAAGTCACTTGATGTTATGTTTCTATTTAATTAAATTTGAATTAAAACGCAATCCTATATAGAATTGTAATTGAACTTCAATTAAATCGCAACCCTATATAGTGTCGCGTGTCTGGGATACATACCAACAGATTTCGTACATTGAATGATGTATTGTTATCATTGGTAGAGAGATACCTACCTGCACCACCGTTAACGATATACACAGTGGCTTGTGGATTGATATAATTCTTACTTATAACTGTTCCATTATAGACAGGATATGATCTCTCATATTGGTGGTTATGACCAGCCATGTAGATGTCTACTTTATATTTGTATAGTAAGTGTTCGATGTTAGCACGGTATGTCTTCGCTTCTGTAATACATCTCGGTAGCCAGTCGACAATACTACTGCAATAGAGAGGTCGATGGCCGTGAACAAAAATCCACGGTACCTTCTCTCGATTCTGACTTGCTTTTATCAGGTCTTCTTCCAACCATATATTTTGAGTTGAACCGGGAGTGAAGTCGTGTTCGGTTGACATGGCAACGAAATGTACTCCCATGTAATCGAAGGAGTAATAAAACTGAGATTTCGATTGGCTGATGTTGTAGGGCATTGTGAACCAGTTTTTATAAGCGGCGAAATCAAATTGAGCTTCATGGTTGCCAGGGCCGACCATATATGGGACGTAGGCTGCGAATGGTTGTATCATCGCAAAATACTCGGTCCAGACAAACGAATTGTTATGTTGGATTAAGCTAAAATCATCTGCATAACTGATATCACCGGCATGTACAACCAACTGTATTGCCTCGTTTTGAACGTACTGGCTAATACTGTATGCTGTGTATCTTCCATTGCCCACTCCAAGATCAGCCATCAAGGCGATTTTTGCACTTTTTCTGGACGTTGGACTGCGTTGGGATTTAAAGTTAGATAGTGTACTAACATCCCCGGTGAACAGAGTAAAATTGTACGATGGACTCCATCCCCCAAGATTCGGGTTACAACATCTGTAATACACCCTATCTCCCTGTTTTACACCGATTTTAGCGATATCGATCTCGACCTTATTTAAAATAGAATCAAAATCACCCGCTGTGTACGTATAAGCTTTACCAGTAGAGATGGCTTGGAAACCGTCAGCTATTTGGCCGTATGCACAGATTGGCGGTTGAGACTCGGGTACAAAGTGACCAGTATTTAGCCAGGAAACAACTACGCTGGTATCGCCAGCTAACGCGAGATGAAGTCCCACGACGGGCTCCTTGTCAAATTTATTGAAATCCATAGCAGCTGATTCGAATTCGCTCCATTGCAGTTTGCCATTTGTTGCGTACACCTCTGTAATTATTACGAAGAAAACTCCGACGTACGCGCAGATTGTCCAAATATGCATGGTCAGTAGACTCGATGTAAATTCAAGTTAACGAGACACTGTGAACGTGATGAAAATATTGATGAAACAAACTAACTAGAAGATGGTCACAGTTCAACAATCGCATGATATCATCGATGGAATGATCGATCACTCGTCGACCAGATAGCGTTACAATAGTTTGTTGACATAGTACATTACTGTTGAAAGGTGGGTGCGATGTGTGTGCATCGTTATTAATGTTCGCTTGGATACTCTTGCAATTTAAATTTAAACATTTTAAAGGCGATGTTAAGTATTATAATCATTACAATTAAATATATCATTGAACTTGAACCAGATCTAATCAAGCTCCATAATATTGACCTGCGTACTTCATTAGGTTCCGCACCGTAGTCTCAAAATTGAGTCTGGACATCTATGGTGTGGACGCCATAAGCGCATCTCGCTCAATAACCATTGTATCAGCCAACGAAAGAAAGCGGTTTGAACTTCACCCAATAACATTATTCAGTATAAAATTGACAAAATGTTAAATGCAGGGAAGCCACGAATAAAAATGTTACTAGAACAGGGCATGGAAGTCTTTGTTTGTTCCAACCTGACTCAAAAGTTACCCGTCCCATGCGGACAGTTGGGCTTTAATGTATAAACTCCATACATACAATACAATGCCTGCATAAGCTTCCTCCTATCACAGGACTGTGAACCATTAGAAACACGTGAGGTGAAACAAAAAGTGTACAAAATATTTTTTGTCATTTACTTAGTTTTGTGTTATTTATTCCATTGTAAATTTCCAGTGATTTTTTTCCCATGGCGTTGATTTTTTTCTAAGATTTATGTGTACAGAATTGTCTCTGTTATTAAACCCTTGCAGATGCTTTTTTCTTTGTATTTTTTGTAATGGTCAACCCTTTGTGTTAAAGGGCGTCCTATTCATTTGCATACAGGAAGGCTATTCATTGTAAACACATTATGACCAGTAATTTATCAACTGTGATTTAACAAATACATTATTTTTGAGTTCAGCCATGATTTACTAAGTGGATAAGTAGAAAGATATAATTATTTTATTTAAAAAATATTAAGACATGCTGAGTATTGAGTTAATATCATTGGAATACAAAAATCTATATAATAGAAGTAATCTACCGTAAACCTGTTCGATTCAATATCAACTGAGGGGTGTAGAATGTTTTGCCATGGATAACAACAGATAAACATCACATTTTTACGACATTCCAAACAAGTTTACGACATGTAGTTTACAGAAAATAAATACAGAATTTAACAAATATCGCCTCAATATTAAAAAAATTGACACCATACCACACCAGGGACTAATACGGGCTAATTCAGAATATAACATTGTCGTTTTGAAAAATGAGGGCGCAGTACATTTAACTGACTAAAGTACTATGAACGACTGTTTTCTCTTAAATATACCATGTTTCAAGCCAGCGTTGCTACACAAAAATAAATTTTGGTAATTAAAACTCAGTCTATTTTCGAATACATTGAAAGTATACAATGGCTTACTTGGTGTGTGCCGGATGTCAACAGATTTACATAAAAAAGAAACTGTGAAACGAGTGGTTTGTAAACCATTTAATGAGTTTTCAAGAATTTTGAAATGTATATAATATTGGAAAACTGACATATTTGCCAAATTGTTTGTATATAATTATCTGAGCATTGAAATATATGTATATAAAACTGAAAAAGCATACTTAGGCACACTATTTCTATACAAAGTACCACAGACATATTATATACGAATAATGAAATTCTGACATTACTTAAATATGTTTTTTTTATTTCATTTTTTATAAATAATTAACCAGTTATTTCCGTTATATACAACTAATTATATTTCTAATTTATTATATGAAAATAATTTAATTGGTTACATTCATTATATTTAAATGTATAGATATAAATTGAAATTGACAATTCATATAAACAAATGCACAAACGACACTTATACCATGCTAACAGTGTATCAGATATCCAGTGGTGTATACAAAAAGAAAATATAAAACGAGTGATTTGCAACCATTCTTAAATCACTGGAATCACATTTATTTTACATTTAGCAATTATTTATTATATCATTTATTTAATTTAGAGTATAAGTTGTAACTAATCCTCCTACGGCCACACCATCGCAGCATGCACCAAGTCTTGTTCGATCACCGTGACTCAGGGCGTAGTCATGGGAGATCAGTTGAGAATAGCTCAGTGTAAGCATTAAAATATTCCCAGAAGCATATTCGAACTTTGGTTCCGGCATCTTTTGCCGATTCCAAACTGTAAACAAGTCATCTGAAGATGACACAGCTCCCACTTGTCAGATGTGATTATAGTTGGCTATGAATTATAAAGTTTGCATGTATATGTATAAAATCGGGTAGGAAGATTAAGTTGAAAGACAACATTACATACCCTATATCGACATATCAAGTAAGTCTATAACAAGTATGGTTTTATTTGGACTAATAATTCACAAGATATTAACAAAAATTAAAAATTAATTAAATATGCAAATGAGCCCATTAATTAAGTTAAACCTCAATATTGCATAGCACAAATCTTATTGGCAGATAAAGTAAGTCTATAACAAGTTTGGTCTTATTTGGACTACTAGTTCACAAGATATTAACAAAAATTCAAAATTAATTAAATATTCAAATTAGTTCATTAATTAAGTTGAACGTCAATATTACATAGCACACATCTTATATTGACAGATCAAGTAATTATATGCCAAGTTTGGTCTGATTTGGACTATTAGTTCACAAGATATCAACACAAATTCAAAATTAAAATTAAATATGCAAATGAGCTCATTAATTGATTCCTTGAAAAAATAAATCAATGTGCATCTGTACCAGTGGTCAATCAAAATCGACCCATGCTTCTCCGAGAAATGATGATGGACACACCCAAAAAACTTGATTTTACAAGATTTTGCCATATTTTATCAAATCCATGTGAATATGTATACCTCGTCACTATGTCTTTGTACCTAGTATCATTGAAATCAGTCAAGGCATCTCTCAATATTAACTTGAATGGACAGACAAAAGCCATGATTAACAATGAAAATGGCTGCCAGTCGGCCATATTTGATCATTTCAAAAAAGTAACACAATGTGCATCTGAATGGGTGGTCTCTTTGACGATGGACACACAAGGACCGAATTTGACTGAATTTTGGCATTAAAAATGGCCGCCAGTCGGCCATATTTGATCGAGTCGGAAAATAAACTGACGTGCACATATATGGTTGACCACTTTGTCTTTGTAGCAAGTTTCAAAAAAATCAGTTCAGCCATCTCCGAGAAATCACTCCGGACGAACTGACGGACTGACGAAGGCGAAACTACAAATCCCCCTCCCGGGTGGGGGCTAATAATATGCCCAATTTCTAGTTAGGCTACATTGAGCATGGTTAGTACTTCCATTAGGGATCATCGGAAATCTAGTCGCGGCTCAGAGGCACGATAAGACCAGGATCAGAGGCGGCAGTGCGAAATTGTGCATGGGGGGCGGAGATCTACTCATCACCCCTAGCGAGTGGCGCGACTTTACTAGGGGATCCAGGCCATGGTACCCTGGAAAGTTTGAAATCTGGACGCTCTGAAACACTATTTCAGCTTGATTTTTGGTGGGGCGACGCCCCCAACATTTTCAGGGGGCGAACACCCCCGGTACCGCCGCCACTGAGGATCTAGGCGGTTCAGGCACTCGAGGCGTAGTAGGGCCAGGATATAGGCGGTCCAGGCAGCTGGGACATGATAGGAACAGCATCAAGGTGGTCCAGACACCTGAGACACGATTTGTTCAGAAAAATAAATATAACAAAAGATTGCAACACTTGTGCTTCGTTGCAAAGCCTCTTTATTTCCCAACAATAAATATACAACTACATATTTGTAATGATACAAGTAATATTATCTACATAATTTAAATCCCTCAGAATTCAACATTGCTATATTGAGGTACGCTTTCGAGTGTTGCCACTTAAAGTCTGTACATAAAATATCACGTGACAGCGGAGTGATTCATATCTGTCTGACCGGTCTAACGTGACTCACTAATATAAAAGTGTCAATGAACGCTGGGCTGTGAACTTACCAGCAAACTACAGATACGTTCATTTGGTATAGTGTTCATAAATAATACAGATACGGTTATATTACACTCCTTTCTAAATAAAACTATTACAGATATGGTTTCGTTATTTTGTTGTTCATTTTACAATTCATGTGTACGTGCGCTTCAACATGTACTCTACGTCACGTCTTCAATGCTTCGACTCATACATCACGCACGTCTTCAATGCTTCGACTCATACGTCACGCACGTATTCAATGCTTCGACTCGTACGTCACGAACGTCATCAATGTATGAATCTTGCCATTCGCGTGACGTCACAGTGAAAGGTGATCACGCCACACAAAATACACCACACCCATCTATTCCCTGTAAAATGAGTTTGGTCATTTGAAATCATGAGGGCGTGCTTGAAGATTTATTGAAAAATAGAAAAAATGCATGCAAGGTGTTGCAGAATAGAAAAAGAAAATGTACAGATAAGACACCATGAAATAAAATTGCACTTGCCACACTCAAAGACCACCCCCTCCCCGTGATTTCAAATAACCAATGCCTTATAATAAGATTCTATAAGTATCTTGGATACAATATGCATTCTACAACTTAATGAACAAATACCTCTAGAGTTTCGTTTTATCGTCAACAATTAGCGAATTAGTAATCGACGTCCGATCGACTACCTCATTAATTGACTATATTATAGAAGGGTTGTATAGATTTACCCATAATGCACAGTGTCCCCCATAGATAATTAGGGGTAACAACATAGGTAAAGATAACATTATCTCTGAGTCATTGATATGACATATCTCAACTAAAATATAAAACCACAAAGTAAAAGATATGAACCCGATTTGCGAAAACGAAAGGAGATCATCCGATTCTACATCAAAGTGTTATTACCACCAGGACTATTCGCCAACATTTGTAGCCCAGAAAAAATGTTTAGGTATAATGGCCATCAAATGTTCAATTCTAGTATAAGTCAAGTAGTCACCCAGGTGAAATTTCAGGTAAATCTTAGAAACAAGGGAAAAACAGATGATAATATCGGTATGGTATAATAATACGATATTATTTGCATTTCGCTTTTGATAAATTACCCACAATGCAATTTAATTGGCATTACGTGGATTGTCTTATCCAATCATGGTTGACAAATTGAATACTACACACACAGAAAAAAGAACAGTGATACAAAACAGTAATATAAAACAATTCCATCATGGAGAAACTCTTATAAAGTTGTTTTGTTGAAGTACAAATTGTATAAAGAGTTGCATTGTAAGATAAAATAATATAGTTAGAGAGGGCGGGAAACGTATGTATAACGCCGACAATTTGCAGTTCATTATCTATCACAAATACACAGCTAGACTGCTGGTTATTCCAGTTTGGTGTCCACATCATCAAAGCCTGTATTGAAGACCACATCCCATATCCGGCCAAATATTGAGACGCCATATCCTGAAAAATAAACGTAAAGAACAACAATGTTCAATTGCAATAAAACTATGCTTTAAAAAAACATGCACAATGTTCAATGTCTGTCTCTGATACTTACCCCTAGAGTGCTGCACAAAATGGTGGTTGGAATGGTATGCCTTGATCTTGCGCATCACCTTGCTTCTTGGGTTGCTATGGTGCAAAAAGTAGTGCTGCACATCGTACATGATGAAACCAAATAAAGCACCTAAAATTTACCATCAAATAAGACATTTAGAAATAAAATATTTAGGTGCACAAACAAACGCACACAACAACAACAAATGTAAGAACTTACAATTAATATTCTAACTATTGTTTAACTATCGCATAGCTGTATCCTCAAAATAACCAGTCCATATTATAACATAGATTATACATATAGTCCAGTATCTGTATGTACAATATTGGGTGTTAATTAAAGGCATATTATTATAAAATTTATCTGCTAAAAGGAGGTATAGTGTGGTTATTTCGATGAACGGTGGTTCCAAATCTGCAAAGATATCGATACGTACCTGAAACTAAGGCGTAGGTAAGGTGTACAGGCTGAACGATGGAAGACACAATATAGTATATCACAGAGAAAAATATGACACCGAGTGCTGGTGGGAATACCAATCTGTATCCGTCACATGGAATCTGTAATGGTATTATAAATATTATTACATGCATTGTATCGTGTTGTATTGTATCACATCACATCTTAATACACCAAACACATCGTATCACATCACAACTCAACACACCACACATCATCACATTGCGTCGCACTTTGCATCATATCGTTACACATAACATCACGTCACATCATACAAATTTTACAGGCAAGTTAAATAAAATTTAATTATAAATTTAATGGGATGAAAAAGTCGCTGTTCATAACAAGTCTGGTGGTTAGGTTTGAATTCGAAAAGTAAAGTTGATTTCAGTGTCACAGTATGCACCCAAAGCCACAAAATAATTCATTTTACACCCTCTTCATTTTTGTTATATGACTGTGCGAAATTTGATGTGTGATTCCCAGATAACGTGAGACTGTCCTGTACTAACTTGATGTGTGATTCCCAGTTAACGTGACACGGTCCTGTTCTAAATTGATGTGTGATTCCCAGATAACGTGAGACTGTCCTGTACTAATTTGATGTGTGATTCCCTGTTAACGTGACACTGTCGTATTCTAATTTGATGTGTGATTCCCAGCTAACGTGACACTGTTCTGTTCTAACTTGATGTGTGATTCCCAGATAACGTGAGACTGTCCTGCACTAACTTGATGTGTGATTCCCAGATAACGTGAGACTGTCCTGTACTAACTTGATGTGTGATTCCCAGATAACGTGAGACTGTCCTGTACTAATTTGATGTATGATTCCCAGTTAACGTGACACTGTCGTATTCTAATTTGATGGTTGATTCCCAGCTAACGTGACACTGTTCTGTTCTAACTTGATGTGTGATTCCCAGATAACGTGAGACTGTCCTGCACTAACTTGATGTGTGATTCCCAGATAACGTGAGACTGTCCTGTACTAACTTGATGTGTGATTCCCAGATAACGTGAGACTGTCCTGCACTAACTTGATGTGTGATTCCCAGATAACGTGAGACTGTCCTGTACTAACTTGATGTGTGATTCCCAGATAACGTGAGACTGTCCTGTACTAATTTGATGTATGATTCCCAGTTAACGTGACACTGTCGTATTCTAATTTGATGGTTGATTCCCAGCTAACGTGACACTGTTCTGTTCTAACTTGATGTGTGATCCCAGCTAACG